TTGGTAGGTTTTATTTTTTTTGTTTTATTTATACTTAATTTATACTGTTTTATTCATATATAAAGTAATAATTATAGAAGAAGAGGACATGAAGTTGAGAGAGAAAGATGTAGGAGAGGTGTACAGGAGGAGTTGGAAGTGGTAAGAAGGGGCAGATATGATGAAAACACATTGTACTTATGTGAAATTCCAAAACGAAAAACCAGTTTAAAAAAAAGGCCAGGTGGGTGCCTCTGTCATCCCAGCACTCGGGAGGCAGAGGCAGACGAACCTCTGGGAGTTCGAGGCCAGCCTGGTCTGTTCTAATAGAGAGTTCCAGCAGAGTCAGGGCTACACAGTGAGACCCTGTCTCAAAGAAAATAAAAGAAGGAACTAAAAGCTGTCTTATCTGATCCACAAACGAAATGGCCTTTGAAAGTGTGAGCCCGGACGTTTTTGACTGCGCACTCCAAATTGCTATACAGGCGCATTAACCCCAGTGTATTGGTATTTGGAGGCAGGTTTTCCTATTTTGCTTTAATTATTTCCAAGGCATATGATTTGCCTCCCAAACTGGACTCAGACTCTAGATGCCAACACCATTGCTTTCTATTTTTCTGTTCTCATTTTTGCAGAAAAATCTACCAAAAGGTCAGTCAGTGAAGAGCTAATCAGTTCTTTTCCTGGATGGCTTATTGGTGAATAGAATTCAGCTCTCCACTGAAGACTCCACATGCTATGTTCTTTGGAGCTCACCAATCACCTTCTCTCTACTACCCCCTGGCTCCTTTGGACATAAAATAATGGGAGCTTATAAGACGCAAGGTGTACTGAGGGTCCTAGAATGTCAGAAGCCCCTAATTCTACTCTTAGCCATCTGCCTTTCCCTTCACAGGATCCGTCACAGTTTCTAATTCAGCACTCATGTATTGCATCTGCGTGGCACTGCATAACAGTTTACCCATTTTGATCACTAGATTGGAAGCTCTCTGAGGGCAAGGAGGGGCCAGGAGGCTGTTTTGTTTCCCGTTATCCTGAGCACAGCATGAAGGCTGTCCATCCCATAATAGCTGCGAATACACTTACTGAATGAATGAAAGGATGAATGAAACGTGGAGACAGCATGCTTCCCCCAGGTCTTTGCATTCTTATTACTTCATTTAATAGCAAAACCGCTCTTCTGGCTCTTCCAGACGACAGAAGATGTACAGAGAGCAATTTAATCTCACCTCCTTGGATCCTCCGCTGCAGCTCCGACCAGAGGCCAGCTGGGTCCAGTTCCACTTGGGGATCAACAGCCACGGACTGTACTCCCGGTCCAGTCCTGTTGTCAGCAAGCTTCTCCATGACATGAGACACTTCCCCACCGTCAGCGCTGGTGAGGTCCATCGGGTCAGCCCAGATGGACTGACTTTCTCCCAAAAGCTGGGTTGAACTATTTCAGGACAGGCTCCAGGAAATGTTAAATTGTTGTCACCAACACATGGTAGAAGGTTGGTAAGAAGAAAAGCACATTCCTTTTGAGAGAGATTATGACCTTACTCTCATCACAACCTCATAGCAAAGGCCTAAGGAGGTGTGTTCTGCGCTCAAGGAAGGTGATGGCTCTTGTTTCCTGAGAGCTTCCTTTGAACCAAGTGATGTGCTCTTTCTTTACAAAGCTCTCCCAGCATGCCATTCATAGATAGGAGAACTGTAACTCAGACAAGTACAGTAAGCTGGGCAAGCACACAGTGCAATCAAGCTAGGATTCAAACACAGACCTGCTGACCCCGAGTCTGTGCTCTCAAGCACATTGAAAGTCCATATGACATAGGAAATTATTAGTAGAGACTAAGATAGACCATGCCTCCTAGCCAGGCATGGCTGGAGTATCCACAGAAGGGCTAGAGAAAGTGGGTCCTGCAGTGTAGTGGGTGGCAACTGCAGACCCTAGACTCTGGTAGATGCCCTTCTGCATAGCTAAGAGTCCCAGGCTATACCAGTCACCCCTGCTGGGATTTTGGGTAAACACTGTGGGCCCCTCATTGGTTGGTTCTCCTGGAACACTGTAGAAAGTTCTCACAGCCTTCTTTTTCTTCACAGATTACAGTCAGGACGAGAAAGCCTTGTTGGGGGCCTGTGACTGCACCCAGCGTAAGTGACATGGCTCTGCTTCCAGCCAGCCTCCAAGGGGGCTCTCCCTGTCTAACCTCTGAGAACTCAACACCTCTCCCCATCCACCCACAGCAAAATAACTTTACGAGGCACTCTGGTGCAGGATCCTACTGACTAAATGTGGTACAGGGCTAAGTGTCTTCAGCATCATTAGGGAGCTTGTTAGAAATACAGACTCTTAGTCTGCTCTGATTTTCTCAATCAGTATCTGAATGTTGACAGAAGAATCCTCCAGTGATTGGAGTACGACTTCAGATTCAAGAGGCAATTATAGGGGACAGTAGTTCATGATGCTGGTGACATCTCACTGTCACCTGAAGAGCTGTTGTCTGGCCTCCACCTCCAGAGGTCTGGGCTCAGTTGTGAATGGGAAGGCCTGTGAGAACATTTTTAAAATGTTCCAAGTGATTCTAATGCAACCAAAGTTGGGTTAATGGGGGTTAATGTCGACGAATCAAGAAACCAGTCAAAAGGGCAGCAGAGTTCCCCTCTGGGAGTGCTGAGAACTGGTTCCAAATGGATCTGAAGCCCCCAGATTGCCCCCCCCTGCTCAAAATGGCCTTGATTATTTACCAAGATGTGCTGAATGCACGTCAAAACTGTCTACATGTGTGTTGACACATTCCTGTAATTCTAGCCCTTACATACATGCAGGCAAAATATTCAAATACACAAAAAGTAAAAATAAAATTTTTTTAAAGTTCAAGGCCAACCTGAGCTACATAGTAAAATTCTGTCTCAAGAAAGAAAGAATGGAAAAGGAGGGAGAGGAAGGAGAAAGAAGAGCGAGAAAGGGAAGGGATGGGGGAAGGGGAGCAGAAGGGGAAGGGAAGGGGAGGGAGGGGAAGGAGGAAGGGGGTAGAGAAAGGGAGGGGAGCGGAAAGGAAGGGAGGAGAGG